GTCAAGCGACACTCTAGAGGAGACCGAGCTACCAGCCTGAGGCCTCCCTGGTTTTTGCTGGGTGGCAGAAACAACGGCATTTCACGTTCTGGTGCTGAATGGAGCCGTGGAGGCTGGGAGGCTGCCGAGGATGGCCTTGTAAATAGCAGCAAATCCCTGTGGTTAATTTATTACGTTTTATATTACCAGGCAGAGCTGGCCCGGGTGCTGGCAGTGGCCCCGGCCCCTGGGACCCTGTCTGCAGAGTCCCCACCTCCTGGGCCAAGGAGAAAGTACTATGGACAAATCACGTGTGTGTGTATTCCAGTTTTTCTGTATTTTTAAAAAAATGTTTGTGCGTGTTCCCTCCTCCTCCCCCCACCCAAGACCCACCAGTTTGAAGGGATTCCACTGAGCTTACCTGTCCCGACTCAGATAGGGCACGGGCTGGAGAGTTCCAACTTGCCTCTGAAACAAAGTGGATTCTGAAGGAGAACGGGCCTCCGATTCCACACTTTCACCTAGAGCTGGCAGCTAGGGTTTGGATGGATGAGTCGGCGTTCACCAAGTTCAGGCACAGGGACCAGCCACTCCACAGGCCAAACCCTACAGGGCAGCAGAACCGCCCCTGGGGGGTTCCGAAGCTGTTCCTCTCTAGGGAACAGAAAGCCTCCTCTTTCTCCCGCAGAGCGGCTGGTGGTTTCAAACTGCTGACCTCGCAGTTAGCAGCCCAACCTGTAAACCCACTACGACACCAGGAGAGGAATGTTGACCTAGCACAAGTTTCCGTATGTTTGAGGCCTTGAATGTAACTCCTTTTGGGAGGGAGGGGGTGCCCCTGATTCAGAGCCTTCCAGGGATAAAGTTCAAAGGAAAAATCTGACCGGGGGACAGCAAGACCACGTGTGACGTTCCGCTGGGCTGTGTGGCTCGGGGAAAGTGATGTTCCCACTCTGTGCCTGAGTTTGTGTTTACAAGACTTAAGTCCAGCGACTATTTATTAAGCACCTACTTTGTGCCAAGCACTTTTTTTCTCTCGTGGCTTCTCCCTTCCTTCGCCAGCCTTCAGAAGGCTGCAGGTGGCAGCAGCATCCTCATTTTACAGACAAGACAGCTGAGGCCTGGTGCCGGGCAGGGACTTGTCCCATGTGGCATAAGGGAGCCTCAGTCCGTCAGGCTCTGTTTGGCCATTGTCGTCGAGGGAGCTTGAATGCAGGGTCTGGTGGTAGATACACCAGATTCCAGCCCTGGCTCTGTTTCCTCATTGTAAGCAGCTGGTGACAAGGCTGTGCCCCATTTCATGAGGGCACTCTCCAGGCACTGCATCCCCCTCGCTGTTCCTGCCTCCCCCAGACCCCAGCCCAACACCATCAGGGGTTGGAGGCAGACAGAGGCTGTGCATGAGTGCCCCCCCTCCTGTCTGGGAGATGGCATGAATAAAAGCCTGTATTTACAGAAGGAGGTCTGGTGTCTTCATTTGGGAGTTAGAGAGGGGAGGGAAGAGTGGGGTGTGCTATGAGAACAGCCCTTGGCTCAGCAGAGTAAACCTAGCGCCCTTCCCCTCTTAGCTACAGTCCTATCATCCATGCAGCAAAACATTGTTG